GGGTTAGAGTAAGCATAAGAGTAAGCAGAGAAATTCTTCGAGGACTTATGGATATAATGATTTGAAGAATAATGCACATATCCATAATCCTTAAATCTTCCCTGCGAAACAGACGGGTTAGCACGATGATGTTCATATGAGGACTCTGCTCCATATGAGGAATTTGGTCCATATGAAGAATTTGATCTGGGGTTCCTATTCTTCATAGGTGGCGTCATGATGACATTCACCTGAAGATTATCAAGACATCTTTTGGGAACCCAGATTTTCTTCATAGGGGAGCCGTTCCTGCAGTTAGTGCCAATATATCTAGCAAATACTTCACCATTCTGATTTTTGAATAGCTTATAGTTGGAGTCAATTGACTCATCATCAGAATGAGGAGATTCACATGCAAATCCAGATAAGTTAGATGGATCAACTGGAGGTCCCTTTGCAGCAAACCATGTAGTTTTGGGGTACTGCTCAGGCTTCCAATATGTACCATCAGCATTGAGTTTCCTCTCAAAGGCGATACCCTCTTTCCTAGGGTTCCTGTTGAGGATCTGCTTTTTAAGCACATCACAAAGAGCCTGGTGCCCTTTGAGGCTTTTGTACATGCCTGTCGTGTACAATTCCTTCAGCCCTGCATTGTCAGTGATACTAGCAATGTTCTCAGATGAGGAATTAGTGATAGCAGAGGCATGTGAAGAATTTGAAACATAAGCAACATTTGAACATTCAGGTGAAGAATTAGCAGATTCACGTTCAATGCACTTCAAGCATGGAGGAACAAATTCTTCCTAAGATGCGCTGATTTGTTGAGCAACTAATGAATCGCGCTCCTTCTGAAAATTCATAACTCACTCTTAGCTTCTCAAGGTTTTGCTTTATTTGAAGAAATTCATAAGAAAGCTTCTCATGATCCGATAAGAGAGTGTTATGTTATGATGACTTTGAAGTTTGTCAAGCTTGGACCGAAGTATCTGAAGATTTTCAGTCAAAGTTTCAGTGCGATCCATTTCTTCACCCAACATATCATCACTTTTATTTAGCATGTTTTGAACCTTTTCTAAAGCCCTTTGTTATTTTATAGCTATCTTAGCAAGTTTAGAATAGCTGGGCTTAAGATTTTCATCAGATTCATTCTCACTTGATTCAGAGGAGGTATATTTGAGTACCTTGGCACCCTTTGCCATGAAGCAATAGGTGGGAGCGTAGTCATCATCGCCTTCATCAGCCTTGTTGGTGAGGTCATTTTCTTCAGTGTTGAAGATAGACTTGCTGACGAATGCAGTAGCGAAAGCTAGGCTCGCCACTCTGGATTCGGACTCCTCTGATGACTCCTCTTCCTCATTTTCTTCAGATTCAGCCTCAGAGTCCATTTCCTTGCCAATGAATGCCCTGGCCTTCTTGGAGATGCTCTTCTTGTGATATGAAGGCTTGGAGGATTTTGATGATGAGGATTTTGTGGATTTCTTCTTTTTCTTCGCATCATCAGAACTATAATCCTTGTATTTCTTCTTATTTGATTCTTTTTCCCACTGAGGACAATCTTGAATGAAATGTCCAGGTTTCTTGTATTTGTGACAGAGCCTCTTCTTGTAGTCACTGGATGAGGAATCATTGCTCCTTGAGGATCTTCCAAGGCGACCATGTTTTGAGAACTTTTGGAACTTCTTCACGAGCAGAGCCAGATCATGGCTTAGTTCTTCAGGATCACCAAGGCTGCTACCAGAGTCTTCATCTTCGGACTCAGATACTGCCTTGGCCTTAAGTGCACGTGTTCTGCCATAGCTTGAACCATAGAGATCTCTCTTTTCAGCAAGTTGGAACTCATGAGTATTTAGCCTATCGAGAATATCAGCGGGATCAAGTGACTTGTAATCAGCACGTTCTTGTATCATCAATGCCAGAGTGTCAAATGAGGAATCAAGCGATCTCAGCAATTTCTTCACCACCTCATGGTCGGTGATGTCAGTGGCACCAAGTGCTTGAAGCTCATTTGAGATGTCAGTGAGGCGATTGAAGGTTTGTTGAACATTTTCATTGTCGAGTCTTTTGAAGCGGTTGAATAGATTGCGAAGAACATCAACTCGAGAGTCACGCTGAGTTGAGACTCCTTCATTCACTTTGGACAACCTGTCCCAGATAAGCTTCGCTGTTTCCAAAGCACTCACTCTGCCATACTGTCCTTTGCTCAGATGGTCACATATGATATTCTTTGCTTGAGAGTCGAGTTGCTTGAATCTCTTCACATCGGCAGCATTCAGAGAAGGTGTGACTGAGGGAACACCATTTTCCACAATATACCAGAGTCGTTATCAATTGCTTCAAGATGCATTCGCATCTTATTCTTCCAGTAGGGGTAGTCCATCCCATCGAAGGTAGGACACCCAGCAGAGTCCTTGATCATACCTGCGGTCGACATAACTAAAACTCCAGACGGTTAAACCAAAATCACACAGAATAAGGGAGTACCTTGCTCTGATACCAATTGAAAGTGCGTTATATCGACTAGAGGGGGGTGAATAGGCGATTTTTATGAAATTCTTCACTGAGGAATTTGCTGGTGAGTAAATTCCTTGGCGAAGAACTACTAGCAGCGGAATAAGTACTCAAAAGTAAACACAACAGAATACAAGCATAGTCATCATGATGAAATGAAGACAGGCACAGAGTACAGGAAGCGTAATCACAGGATAACACAGGATGAAAACAAACAGACTGAAGAAATTGAACTGAGGAAATTGAGAAAGTCTTCAGTCAAAGTCTTCAAACACAGATATGAACAAACATACATCACAGTTATGAGGAAATGAAAGAGTTGAGGAAATAGAACCAGTAAGCTCGGTGAAGACAATGATTTGGTAGAGCAATTCCAACTGCTGTCTCAGTTGTACGTCTGGTTGGAGCGGCTGAGTATTTAAACTCGAGGACACACAGTCCCGGACACCCAGTCAAGGACACTTAGTCCAAGACACCCAGTCCTCACCGTATTCTCCTTGAACTAAGGTCACACAGACCTTGTCCAATCACTCGTGATAAGTCTTCAGGCGACTTCTAAACCTTCACAAACTTGGTCACTCGACGATCCACAATTCCTCTTGGATGCTCTAGACCATGACGCCTAACCGTCTGGAAGAAGCACAGTCTTCAAAGGTAACAAGCGTCGGATCCACTCAGGATCAATCTCTTCAGTGATGCTCAATCACTTGGGGTTTATAGGTGTTTGGGTTTTGGGTTTTTGGTTTTTCCTCACTTGATGATTTTCGCTCAAAGTCCTCGGAATATGAGTTGCTCTCAAATGACAAGTGTCAGTTTCTCTCGGAGCAGCCAACCAGCTAGTGGTTGTAAGGGGCAGCTATTTATAGCCTAGGGAGCAGCCCGTCATGATAAGACATAAATGCCCTTCAATGATATGACCGTTAGGTGGATAGATATTTTGGGACAGCTGGCGCATAGCACAGCAATGGTCGGAATTTTGAGTAGCAAAATCCTCATGGCTATCATGTTCCTCACTGTGTAGGCAATCCGCACTGGCGAATTCCTAACTCCTCAGTCAGGACAAATTCCTCAGCAGAAGAACTTCGTCTCTGTCACTGAAGAAATTGACTGAACTGTATGAGATTTCCAATGGCTTCACTCGAAGGGATTGGTAGGTGTAGGATTTTGAGTTGAGCATCACATGAAAATTTTTCCTTAGTATTTTCTCGACCCCCTTTAACAGTACGGTGTTTCCTATGACTCAAGAAAGAGAAAAACAAAACTATGAATACGAAAGTCTTCAAGCTTCATATTTCTCGTATAAATATCAAGTCTTCACGGACACACCAATTTCTCCACTTTCAAAGTCTTCATGAAAGTCTTCAGAAATACCAAAATCTTCAGTCGAAGATATTCATTTTTAGGGGTCGACTTTTCCTGTAAATATCAAACTTCTTATAGACTTATAGACCTGTGTACACTCACACACGCATTAGTCCCTTAACCTATAAATCTTTAATACACCAAAATCACTAAGGGGCACTAGATGCACTTACAGTTGCGGCATCCGCCAGCGCTGCTACGTGGTGTCGTTGCTATGAGCTGCATCGAAGCATCCGTTGACGCTGTCACTGTTGCATCGCTGCATCCACCATCGCCGCCGCACGCTGCGTCGCAGCATCCATCGGCGCCGCCACACGCTGCGTCACAACATCCATCGGCGCCGCCGCGTGCTGTTGTTGCTGTCTTTGCATTGAAGCATCCGTCAGCGCAGCCGTGTGCTGTTATTGTTGCATCGATGCATCCGTCGGCGCTGTTGCACGCTGCGTCACAGCATCCGCCAGTGGCAGGAGCTCGCCAGGTGCGTTGCTGTAGTGGAGCATCGCCGGGGCCGCTGGAGCTGCAATGAAGCCCCGTGGCATCGTCGAAAGCTCCGTCGAGTTGCAATGAATCGTCGCCGGAGCTGCATTGAAGCACCGCAGAGGGCATTGAAGGTTCGTCGGGGTTGCATTGAAGCACTGTCGAGCGTCGACGCTGCAAGCCGCCGGGCGCTGTCGGTGCTGCATCGTGCTGCTATGGGAGCTGGTGCTTGGTGCTGGCTTGGGGCTGCATATCGTGCGGCTGGGAGAGTCTCGGACGGTTCTAGGGGCGGTTTAAGTTTGCCTAAAATCATCCGACTAATTTATAGCATCCGCCTATAAAAAAAGCGTTCATGACTAACTCTTGACAGGCGTATTTTTACAGAAGAAAATCTCCAAACATCGGCGGCAGAGTCGCTTGACCCTATCCACGGCTGCTCAGTTGATGCGCCCACAAGCGCACTCCATTGTGCACGCATGCATGTAGTGCAAAGAGTTGCACCCCGTGCCCGGCTCTGTGCAATTCGCAATCTTCTGGATTTGGGTTGTAGTGCCGCACCGACACCACGGCTATAAATAGGTGTGCGCCTCAAAATCATTCTCGTGGCCACGCTTTTCGTATAGGATAGATCATCGACCAATTACTTGTCGCGGGCTGGTGACGTCTCCGGAGGCATGGCAGCAGCTAGCGCTAGAGCCCTTGCTGCCGCGGTTTCAGCTCTGCTCGCGGCCGCTGTATTACTCGCCTCCCCGTCGCCGGTCGCCGCGGAGGAGGGGTGCACGCAGCGGCCGGTTGTGTTCGCGTTCGGCGACTCCAACACAGACACGGGCGGCACCGCGGCGGCGCTTGGGAGCTACCTCCCGCTCCCGGAGGGCCGCACCCATTTCCGCCGCTCCACCGGACGGCTCTGCGACGGCCGCCTCGTCATCGACTACCTCTGTAAGTTGCACACGCAAATCCATTGCCCACGTTGGTTGTACAGTGCTCAGGGATCGGAGTTGAACAATAGTAACTGCTCCACTTGTCGCAAAAAGAATCATAAAAAATAGAAGAGTGCAGTAATCCTAAATTCTAACCACGTGACACATGTGGTAAACAATCTAAACATTAAAAAAAGAAAGTGCAGTAATCCTAAATCCTACTCCTACCTTGTATGCTTTCATGAGACTTTGTCATTGCTCAGCTGGGCGGCAGTAAGCTGCCGTCGTTTTCGCGGTTTCATCTTTTCCACAACATGCAGCCGTAGTGCTGTCATGCTCTATCTTCCGTGTTCGTGCCAGTCGATTTGTTTCGGGATAAATTGGTGGCCTGAGCAACTACTAGAACAGTAAGTGGTGGCGGCTGAAAGTTTGACTCCCTGATAGGACAAACGCGCATGCATTGTTTTTTTTTAGAAATGAAGGCATACCCCGGCTCTACATCATAATGATGCATGCAGCCATCTTATTAAAAATCCACAAAGTAGCATAAAGTCATAAAAGTATTACAGCTCGTAATCGGAGCGGAACAAACGAAGAAAGAAAAATACATGCTGACAATCACAACCGATACGGCAATACGAAGGATAAGCTCCCTAAACTCCTATCCTGTTATGCGACCGCCATCCGAACCGATTGAATATAACCCGTGCTACCATCTCCCACTGGTTGCACCCGGTAACCAAAGACTCACTGGAGTCCATAAGAGTGAGTAAAGACCACGTATGGATCCGTGCAGTAGCTCTGAAGATGACATGCAAGAAAGTTAAAGTGTGTTGTCTGTTAAAAATCATATCATTCCTACAGGTCCATATAGCCCACAGAAGCACACATATTCCAATCCGAATACAAGCCACGGTAGTATGCTCAACCCCAGCTAACCACGTTCCAAACAACGACTCAATGTCAACTGGAGGATTAATGTTGAAGGCTATATGAATCGCTCTCCAAAGCAATTTGGCGAGTGGGCATTTAAGGAATAAATATTGTATTGTTTTTATCATGATCACAAAAACAATACCGCGAACTACCTACCTATTGCCTCTTGATTAAGTTGTCTTTGATGAGTATTACTTGCTTGTAGACGAATCACATAAAGATTTTAATACGCAAGGAAACCTTAACCCTCCAAATATGCAACGATCTTGAGATTGGGCCAGAATTAATCAAATTTATATAGAAATATTTTATCATAAATACCCCATTTTGGCTAATTTCTATTGCGTCGAATCCGGCTGGTCGGAGAGTTGAACATCTATCAATCTCCGAACCAAGTGCATCCAGGCAGTCCATCGCTCACAAACTAACGCACGTCTGAACTGAATATTTAAGGGAGTCGTTTGAAAAACTGTGCCTATGTAATCCTCCTTACGTTGCACAATGTTATAAAGGGTGGGATATTGTACGGCCAGGGGCGTCTCTCCTAATCACGTATCCTTCCAAAATCTTGTTGACATCCCATTGCCAATCAAGAATTTAACCCTACGAAAGAACAAGTCCTTCATTCTTATAAGTCCCTTCCAAAATGGCAAGTCAGTTGGTCTCATGGTAACTTGGTTGAGCGTTTTCGACTGTAAATACTTATTGCATAGAATTTGTGCCCACATGCCCTCCGGCTCTGTCTGTAACCTGTAAAACCATTTGCTCATAAGGCATTTATTTTTAATTTCTAAGTTTTCAATACCAAGACTTCTTGGTCTTTTGGTCGGCAAAGCATATCCCATCGCGCTAGACGATATTTTCTCTTGGCCTCGTCAGACAAGCGCGCATGCATGCACAGTCATCTCAAGGAAGTGACAAGTGCGTGCCGGCCGATCGGGTTCCCACTTCCCACCCAAATCAATCCTGGCTCATACGGCTTGGTGGTGGTGTGAGTGCCTTGAGCTTTCAAAGAAGCACTCTGCACGAGTCCGGCCGGCCGTGTTGTCTCAAAGAGCATCAGCTCGTGACAGACTGACAGCACACCCCATAGTTCGTCACCACAGGCTTTGGCATAGCTAGTGGTCGGACTTGTGCTCTCTACCGCTTAATATTCTACTAGTAGTGCCTTTGATGATTACTGCGCGTCCCTCGTGCGTGCAGGTGAGAGCCTGAACATGAGCTACCTCAGCCCGTACATGGAGGCGCTGGGCTCCGACTTCGGCGACGGCGCCAACTTCGCCATCGCCGGCTCGGGCACCCTGCCGCGTGACAGGCCCTTTGCTCTCCACGTCCAGGTGCAGCAGTTCACCCACTTCAAGCAGCGCTCCCTCCAGCTCATCGCCCATGGTTCTCGACTCCTAGCCCATACTTCTTCAGTACTAGTACTAGTCAGCACAGAAGGGATGACCATCTACTGACAGATCTAATGCTAGCTGGTCTGCAGGCGAGAAGGCACCGGTGGACGCGGAGGGTTTCCGGAACGCGCTGTACCTCATCGACATAGGGCAGAACGACCTCTCCGCCGCCTTCTCCATCGGGCTGACCTACGATCACGTGGTCCATCACAGGATCCCGTCCATGCTATATGAGATACAGGATGCTATCGTGGTACTGCAAATCGATTAACCGCCAAATCGTAACGCTCAATCTCTTCTTTTGCCTGGTGCAGAACCCTAACCCTACTTGCTGTCTGTTCATGGCGTGCAGACTCTGTTCTACGATGGAGCCAAGAACTTCTGGGTCCATGGCACCGGTCCGCTAGGCTGCCTGCCGCAGAAGCTCGCCGAGCTCAGGAACGACGCCGATGGCGATCTCGACGACAGCGGCTGCCTCAGAACGCTCAACAACGCTTCCCACGAGTTGAACAACCAGCTCAGCTCCGTCTGCCACAAGCTCACGTCGCAGCTCAAGGGCGCCACCATCGTGTACACCGACGTCCTGTCCATCAAGTACGACCTCATCGCCAACCACAGCGGCTACGGTGAGTCGATCGTTGAGCAGTCCATCGATCAACCTGGAGACACTGCATGCATACTCTGTTTTTTGTTTTTGGTTTTGCTTACGGGGCCGCTGATGTTTCAGGGTTTGAGGAGCCGCTGATGGCGTGCTGCGGCTACGGCGGGCCGCCTTACAACTACAACGTCAACGTGAGCTGCCTCGACCCCGGCTACCGGGTGTGCGAGGACGGCGCCAAGTTCGTCAGCTGGGACGGAGTGCACTACACCGACGCCGCGAACGCCGTCGTCGCGGCCAAGATTCTCTCCGCGGAGTTCTCCACTCCCAGTGTGCCCTTCGGCTACTTCTGCAAGACATGATGGATGCTATACGTACCATTAGATCGAATCAGACATATACGAGCCGCAGATTTGGTGATTTGAGTTTGAAGGGCTCCGTGCGTTGTAATAGTTGAGACGCATAGCCTAGGGCCTATAATCCTATACCTATACGAAGACTAACGTAAATCTCTTACGTAACCTTCCATATCAATACTTCTCTCCCCCTGATTTTAAGTGGGGTGGGGCCCGCCTTCTCTCTAACCCCAGTCATAACCTGCCAGCTGTCTAATTACATAACAATTACGTTAAACCATTCGTAGGTGTAGCATTGACCGCCTAGGGCAGTTGCAGTTGGCAATGAATCGACCTAGCTAGCATTAATAACAACACATGGACGTTGAAATGTGTTTCCAAAAAATATTACTTTCACAGTTTCGAAGGTATTAATAGATGACATTTTAGGCCCTAGCATGGTCTCTAACTTGCCCATGATCGTTCCAGGGTTCCGTTTCTTTTCGCTCCACTTAGTCATAATTCCAGTCTTCATGATTTTGCTATTTGGAGGCACGACCCTCTGTGTGTGTGCAGTGTTGATGTCATCCTAATCATGCAGAGGCTGAGAATGTGTTCATTGTGAGTGAATAAAAAACACCATTTATACCAAAATCTCAAACATGCACTTATGAACATTGAGTTTTTACACATACTAGCACAATGTCCGTGTGTTGTAACAAGATATAAACATTCTACTGATTTACCTGCCCATATTAATATGTTGGTGTAAATAAATGTTTATCTAATCATGTTCGTGATTTATCTTATAAGTATGTAAATTAAAATGGAATTGGTTTAGAAGCTAAGCAAATTACGGTGATTGACTATCAATTTATCATACGGAAAAGGTTGGACGAAGGGGTGGTGAAAAAAAGATGGAAGATGGAATCTTATATTCTTTTTAAGTAGTAGAGATATACCAGTAATGAAAAACATATAACTAACATTATGAACATGTTTTCATGCCAAATCTCTTTACTCCTATAAATAGGCGAGTCGATCTGTGTGCCCAAACACACTCTAAACGTTACTATTTTACTTCTTCTTTTTGTGAAAGGAGAAACACCCTTGCATGGGCATTATATTTATTGCAAAGTTTTCAATTCTTACAACAGCTTAAGATAAATCAGACGCCAAATAGCTGCAGCTAGTAAGCAAAAGGAAAACATGTCACAACTCATATTATAGTGACCTGTAATTCAATATATATTTAAACCAGTCAAACATATAAAACTTCCTGAGAAGAGCACTTGTTGATCATTTTTGTTCAGATCTAGCTTGCAAAATCTTTCATCCTATACAAATTGTCTTCTAATGTTTCACCTCCACTTTGCAGAACGACAATAAATTCATGATCACTTGCCACCATATTTTTGGATTGGCTTTCCGTTACTGCTAAATAAATTAAATTGACTACATGTTGAAATAAAATTATTTTTGTTGTGTAAGTAATGCAGGAAAGTAAACTACAATAAACAAAAACAACTAAGCAAAGTAAATAACAAAGGGACATCAAATAATACTACTGCGGAGCCTATGAGGCTTGTTACCTCCGCCGTCGGTGCTTCTCATAATACCTCAAGAGGGTGCTTCATAAAGTGCTCAAAGGAAACTCCCGGTAATACCAAATGTGGTTTGTTATTAGTGCACCTCTCTTATTGCATGTGGCTAGTATCTAGTAAATGCTTGGTGACACTGAGAGTTACCCCAAACACTTGACATAAGCCCTCGGTATGATGCTTCTTGAAGGGCTTCAAAGGAACTCCGGGTGATACCAATTACCAAACATGACTTGCCATTAGTACATCTCTCACGGTATATAACATGCAGTATCCGCTAAATGCTTGGCCACATCAAGAGTTCCCCCAAACACTTCACATAATACCGTGGAGAGGTGCTTCGTAAAGTGCTTGAAGGGAACTCCCGCTAATACCAAGCTTGGTTTGCCATTAGTACATCCCTCTTTGGTATGTGGCGGTATGTTTACTAAATGCTTGGCGACAACAAGAGTTCCCCCAAACACTTCAGAAATGCCCTGAAAGAGATGGTTCCTGAAGTGCTTGAAGGGAACTCCCGATGAGGCCAAAACTCGATTTTAATACTCATGTACCCATCATCATATATATGGATTTCATACACGAACCTACCAGTATAACTAAAACACAAGCACTCTCAAACCTGTATTGAAATTGCTAGTTGCCACCCAGAGTTCCCCCAAACACTTCACTATGCACAGCTGTCAAGCTCCCTGCGCACACTTGCAAAAGTGTCAATGCACTGAGACATAGTTAAGCTAGCTACTGAAGTGATTTGAGGAGAACTCCAGTGGACAACCAACCAAACTACTTAGCCATGACTCTGCTCATCTCCCGTGGACCACACCTCACTTGTCTAATCTACCCTGCTGATGAGCACATAGCCGGCTGCTATTTATAAGTCTAGGCGAAATACTAAAGATCTAGTAGCAAGCTTGTTTGCCCCATGTGGACTGTGGTGTGCAAATGCATGCAAGGTCTTGGAGCCGGGTAGATGAACCTGGGAATGCACCTAGCCGTGATGCAGCCTAGGTTAGAAGCTATACAGTGAAGGGAATCTCATGTGATGTGCCATTTTGGGCGGCACTACTCAGCAAGATTTGCAGCTCCGAATCCTAGAAAAGCTCATGGTGCAAAAGGTGCGTGCCCAGCCTGCAAATTCCTTATCTCCAGCAGCAGCTAGCTAGAGACCATTGTCGTCGTCGCTCGGTTTCTGTCCACGAACATTTCTATCAGCGCAAGTGACAGGAGTACTGCAGGGATCACGCTATAACCATCATCATTATCCCATGCAACTGGTGCAAAGCTCGCGCCAGTTGCAGCACAGGACACTACGAGCTAGGCAATCTGCTAATAATTCGCTGCAGGAAAGTGCTCCACTGCTCCATAGTTCAGTAGATCTCATGGGTGGACGTATTTGTTAGTTGATGTGCTTGTAGTGCTGTGGGTGCAGTATCGTGATAAAAGTGAGCAGCAACTTAGCTAGAAGAACCATAAAGTGATCAGGAACTTAGGCAGACGAAGAGAACATGCTTTCTGCGTCTGTGATACATGCACGTTGAACATTTCACACTGTTTATGGCCTGCATCGATCGGCATCAGCGGAAACTCCTTTCTACCGGAGCCGCGATGTACCGGCATAGCATCCACCGTTCAACTGCTTTGTGATCTGAGTCTAAGTAGGACCCATTCATATGTATACCCATATATTGTGGCAGGTAATCATTTGTATATGGTCAAATCAATGTCACATCAATAGGCCCATGGCAGGAAAGGCAGTACTATTTGGAGTGGGCTGTACGCATGCATGCGGCATCTCTCCTCTCTCTCTCAAACAAATTCATGCATTTTATTTTTGTTTACATTTTTAGATGGCCAATATTTTTTACAGTAATGTTCTATTATTTAAAAATTTCATATATTCAAATTCTTGAACATAAGATCTTTAGAATAAGACCAATCTTGAATATATTTAAACTAGTTTAATTTTTACTATTTCAATATATCAAAATACTAATTTCACTCATTTCAAATTACAATTTTTGAAAAAAATGAAATCAGTTATTGAAATGATTGAAATCACTTTTCTGAATATAGTTTTCTTTGTGAGTTTCATATTTCAGCTTCTGAAATTGTGTCTTCAATGGGGTGACTGTAATGTGTTTTTCTGAAACTAGTGAAATCTATCTTTTGTAATGAGTGTAATCAGTTTTTTGAAACAAGTGAAATATTGTATTTCAATTGAGCGACTGTAATGTATTTTCTGAAATGAGTGAAATAAGTTATTTGAAAAAAGTGAAATACATCTTTTTAGCGTCAAACGACTATTTCAATGTTTGAAACAGATATCTCTGCCAAGTGAAATGCATTTCAATACTTTTTTGGTAAATACGAAGTGAAATTAGTTTTGGAACTAGTGTAATTATATTATTTGAAATGTGATTTTTCAAATTTGTTAAATTCTTATTTTGGAACTAGTGAAATTATATTCTTTGAAATGAGTGAAACAATTTGGAAATATTAATTTTTTTGAAACAAGTAAAGTTTATTGTTGAAACAAGTGAAATCTAGTTTTTCAGTTGAGTGAGTGTAATATTGTTTCTGAAATAAGTTTCTTGAAACAAGCGAAATATAGCTTTAAAATCTAATGTTTTATGAAAATGATTTCAAAGATAATTGAAATATATAAGACAAAATATATGCAAAATAGATCTTGTTTCGAAGGTCTTGTCACCACGAATTCAAATATACAAAAAAAATTCAATATTGGACATTTGGTTTAAAAGATACAAATCATTAAACATATGGGGATGAAAATAAAATGCATGTCATATGTATGGCATGAGAGAATGCAGGCATGCATGCACAGCTCTCTCTACCCAACTCTCTTTCTTCTATAAAAAGCTGACTTCATCTGGTACTAGTACATGTATTACTATGTGTATTCTATATCCGGAAATAGAATATAAAAGCTGCACGAATCTTGATGAAAGTGACAGACGGTGGATTGCTTACCGGTAGCTCCCGGCTCCGGTAAAAAAACTTAGTCGTCGGCATCGGTGCATGCACGTTCATCATCGGTGTTTATTAATTTTAAAGGCCAGCTATCACATTCACATACACAAATAATGATGCTGGCACATTGGATTGGACACATTTGGTAATCCTAAGGGCGGAGCTCAGAGACCTAATCTGGTATTTTCCATTACAAAATCCGTCTAATCCAATGTGCTAGCGAGCTACTCCCTTCGTTCCGAATTACTTGTCGCATGTATGGATGTATTTAGATGTATTTTAGTTCTAGATACATTTATTTCTGCGATGAATAATTTAGAATGGGGAAGTACTTGTCCCATTACGCGTGAGTGTACCTACGTGAAGGCGGCATAAGGTACTTTTTGGGCATCAACTTTTTTTTACCCACATCTGCACGAATGTAATTCCATCGCG